ATAATAGCCATTATATACCTCATTTCCATTTACAATCTTGACAAGCAAGCAAGATTTTCACCATTAATAAGCAAAGACAGAATATGATACAGTTTGAACTGACTATTTTCCAAAGAAGTAACCTAACTTCCTTTTTTTCCCATCTTCCACATGAAAGTCTTATGCAAATGTTTCCAGCTTCTAAAAACATTAAAAAATAGAAACAAATAAGTTGTATATAAATACACATATGAAGTTTAAGATTTGAAGTTTATTAAAAGCCACAGAATCTGAAACTGAACATATTAAGCAATGTTAGTTCTGCAACTTCTGGTTGCTTTTCGAAGCAGATTAAAAGTGACTTGAAAAAGAAGTTTTTTAAGTGGACTTTTGCAGATACCACAACACATCATTTTTACAAAAAGTTGTCACTGAGACTGAACAGTCTTTTTCCACTAGCCACGATCTCACATCAGTTCGACCTGTTGGCTTCCTCTAAGGTAGTACAGATTAGCCGTTAATGTAGAATCTCTACTTCCTTTAAGTCTTCCTTCCCGACGATAGCAACGAAAGTCTCTCTACTGGCAGTTTGCCAGTATAGTAGTACATCGGCTTATAAGACGAGCCTCTCCGAAAGGCAGTCTTAAACTGAGAGTGACTTGGTAGAGCTACCACGAAACTTTTCGCGAAAAACTTGCTTTGATTGATCACTAGTGTCCAGAGTTTACAAACTTCTGCTACAGGACTGTCAAACGGAAAAGTTTTAGTTTTCTATAGCAGACGAGAGGAGTGATCGAAAAGATAGTGACGAATTGATACTTTTACTTTGCTGCCGTCAGGGTCGAATCGTCGAAAATTAACGGCATTTTGAACGGGTCGATTTATCAGCTTTTCCTACAAATAATGTTTTTTGCCTTGATTTTTTGCCGAATCTGCCAAATCTTTATTGCTTTTTCTCCGTTTCGATTCATTCGTTTGGTACAGATGTTTAGGAATCCATCCGTGACACTTCTCTGTGTGCCATTTCCGATTCTTGCAGCTAAAGTCGAAGGTTGAAATGATCGAGTTTGCTGATTTGGACTGTAAACTAAAACTCTTGAATACCCATGCAAAATAATTTAAATATTTCATCTTTTTTCTGACAGCGTTCACAGTTATATGTGTGTTGGCCCTTGCCGTTGTTGAAAGCTTTTTTTTCGATTTGGTCTAATTTATAAAATTCTAATGCAGCACTAACACAGAGAATCTCATATTTTTTAAAGGAGCTCCTAAAACTTAGACAGAAAAGGAAATGTACTTAGTACGCGGTCGATTACCATTGCCGCTAGTGCGAAAAGTGAACAGCTGGAAAGAATCAGTCGAGCTTTTTTTATGGTTAACTGACTTTATCAAACGACAGTCAGAGACGGCCTTGAAGGATCATAGAAACTAACGAATGCATCTTTACTTTCCACTTCTATTTTGGATGTTGGGACCAAGA